CCTGAGGTTTAATTTCAGATTCTAAATTGAAATTAGATTTTTATTTGCAAATGCATTGGTTATTTGTTAAAAACGAATTCCATTTTTTGATTACAAATTATTTATTCGTTCTATTAGATTGTCTTTTTGGGAGAACGGAAACAAAAATGGAATTAAAAAGGATTAGAAACGAAAAGAAATAGATTTGAATTTTCCAAAAGACATCTGATATTTTCAATATTTTTGCTTGTAATACAAAAATCATAAACTTAATCTAAAATTGAAAAATGAAAAACTGATTTGGTTGCAAGTATTTGTTTACTACTAATGGCAGTTTATGGGAGTTTATTTGTATAATTTACAATTAAATGAAGTTTTTCGTCAAAGTTTTAAAATTCTTTTTTGTTTTAAATTCGAAAAAAAGTATCGAAAATTTTATAATGCGCATAGTTATTTTGTGCAGCGACTATTATGAGTGAGATTGTTGAGTTTGTTAATTCAATTACATAATTATCATTAACTTTAATTAATTAATTATAATAACGTAAAATAGTAAGCATTTTCTTGTAAACAGTAAACAGTACTATTAAAATGCTCATGTGACGCAATTTATTTACTGATAATATTATAAAATTACTACAGCTTATAGACACAATATTAAAATATTTCGTACAAAATGAATAAGTAAATTAAAAATTTGAAATTAAATTTGAAACTTTAAATTGAAATTTCAAAAATGAATGAAAAAAATCCATGCATGTAAATTTTTGTTATATCGAACATTTTTCCAAAATGGAATTCAATAATTAATTAAAGAAAAAAAAATTAAAATAAGAACATAGGGCAAACATTTTTGTAAGCAGAAAATTATCACTATATAATTCAAATAATTTATAAATTGTAGTTTTTTTCAGACTTAAATTTTAGAATTTAATATCAATTTATTTAATTTTTTTTATTCATATTTTCATAGAATTGTAGCTCTTTTTCATTTCTCTTTCTTTATTCTTAAAACATACCAATTAAGTAAATAAATTGTAAAGTAACCTGTTGACTTCTCAAACTTTGTCATATTTACCAACGACAAAGAATGTGGACGAAAGCGGTAAATGTAGAAAGTTGGAGGAAAAAAAAGAAAAATGTATCCTTTTTGCGGTAATTTGCTAATCTTTTCAGTAAATAAAGTATAAATCAACATTAAGTATTTTAATTATATGCTTAATATACATTTACCAATAACCATAACAAAGTGCTTTATCAAATTTCTTTTCATCTCACCGCAAAGTATCATCGCATTTAGTGGGAAAAAAAAAACAAAATTAGCAACATTTAATGTTGTTATAAATGAATTAATCTTACTTCTTTTATATTAATTATTTTAATATTTTAGTCATTTTGATATTTGCATGCAAAAAAAAAACGAAAAATTAATATAATTAATTATGTGTAAAAATTATATACCAATATTATTATGCTTTTTTATTAGATTTAAATTTAATTAAAGCATTTCACATTTTTAATTAATATAAATTGAATAAAACAGAATTTATGAATTTTGTTTGTTTGTTTATTCGTTTGTTTCTCTTTTTTTTTTTAATTTCTTTCAATCATTTTTTTTATCCTATGATAATCGAAACATATAAATGCAAACAAAACTTAATCAAATAATTTAATCAATTAACCAACTAATCAATCAATCAGTCGGATAGATTTTAAGTCTAATCAATCAATAAATGAATCCAAACCGTAATATGAATAAAAATTCAATGAATTTATTATTATCAAAACTTAAATCTTACACTGATCAATAATAGTTTTTGGCTATTTTTGTTTATCTCATTTCCATACTATTCCTTTTAAAGTGAAATATATTAATTAATTAATTGATATAATTTAATTTATGGTATAAATAAAAAAAAATTCTCATGAAATCTTAATTCTTGGGAAAATGAATCTTTTTTATTCACCAATATCATCATCATTCGATTACTTTCACCTTATTCTATCGTACTTCATTTCCGTTCAATTTCCCTTTTGGGGTTAAATGCTTATTTTCCAGTTTTTCCATCGTATGTGATATTGGGGTGGAAAAAAAAAAATGGGAAAAGGTTAGATGACGGAAGGGAACGTAAATGTAAGATTGGTAAGCAATGGTAAATGAATGAATGAATAGGTGACATTGGAGTACTCTCAGGTGTTGATTAGGATGAGACACAACTGAGAGGTCAAACGTTTTCCACGGTAACAAACAAAATATTCCACACTTCCGGAACGCACTATCTTTTTTTTTTCTCATTCTTTTTTTTCTTTTTTTTATTATACCAATACCAATTTCTTCAATGAATTTTTTTTTCTAATAAGAAGGTTTTTTTTTTGAAGTTTAATTAAAATAAAAAATCAATGAAAATGGAATATTTAAGCATTTTTGGAAAATTTAAAAAATTACTTTGGAATAAAATATTTAGAAATATATTTAAGGAATATTTAAGCATTTCGATAAATCACAGAAATTTAATAGTTTTTTTTTTTGTTGTGGAATTATATTTTGTATTATTAATTTATAAAATATGTGAAAATTTATAAACAAAAAATAAAAATTTCATTTGAAAATATAATAGCATAAGATATGATATTTTGTCTAATTTAAAATACTCATATTAATTATAGATCATGAAAAGAAAAAATTGAAAAAAATTTTTCTTCCTCTTGAACACTTTATCATTCAGTTTTCATCCATTTAGAATTTTTCTATGATATTTAAAAGTTTTTTGAAATTTTGATTTTTCTTGAAATTTGTTGTTTAGTTGCATATATTTAGTCTAAAGATAAAGGAGAAAAAAGATGTGTGAAAGTAGAAATTGAAAAATGAAATTTAATGTGGAATTTTTAAGAAATTAATGATTTTCTAATTAATTGGAACTTTTGAAATTTCATTAAATTTTTCCAGATTTTTTTGGGCTTCATTTTTGCTGAACTTCAACAGGTGGATTAAATATCTGTTAAACTTTAGCTGTTGAATTAAATTACAAGTGTGAAACCCTCACGGAAATTAATAAATTTAATTTTAATGATGAAATTTGTTTTTTGTCAAATGAAAATAAAATTACGAAGTAGCAATTTTTCTATTCTTAAACATTTGTTTCCCTTTTTATTTTATCTTTCTCAATCATATTTTGATAATGATAAAGTGAAAATGGTAAATGATTGGAATGAATTAGTGGTGATAATTTGATTGGATGAAATGAAATTGGCATAAGATAGGATGTAATATCATTGGTTGAGATTAATTGTTTACTTAAATTGTATGTGAACAACAACTTTTGTTGATTTCATAAGAATAAAGACTAGTTTTTGAAGTTATGTTACTATTTTAGGAAAAGTATGAAACGATAAAAAGGAGGAAGAAAAAGGAAAGAGAAAATGAGGAAGAAGGAGAGAATAAAATAAATGAAAAGGAAAGGCAAGAGAAAGATAATGATGATGTTGATGATGATGATGATGATGGTGATGATGATTAGTTAGCTATTTCATTTAAATAAATTCATCATAAGAACACTTGAAAGATAAATATGGTTGGATTGTTGGTTAGTTGGTTGGTTGGTTTTCATGAGATGCCATAGATATGGAAGGATACGGTAGTTTGCATTGATTGGAGAAGAATTATTTATTTGTTGTTGTTGTTGTCGTTGTCATAGTAGTTGATAAATGATTGAATGAATGGATGGATAAATTATCAAAAAAAAAAAGGAAAAAAAGAATGAGAAAGAAATTTTGAATAAAAATAAATAATAAAATGGATGGGAAAAGATGGACAAAAGAAGTGATAAGTGATAAGAAGTGATAAATCATGATAGCATTATAATACAGTGCATCATAATATTATAGTAATGATGGATAAAATTATTAATAATAGATAGGGAATGCAAGTGATGAAAATTTTACTTCTGAAAAAATTTTTAGTGTCAATTAAGTTATTGCATTTTGATGTTATTTTCTTTAATTTAATTAATGACAACAAACTTATTGTCTTTAATTAACTTCACAGTTAATTAGCGATTTTTGATTCAGTTTAACACACCTTAAAAGGGTCATTAATTAGCACGAAAAAAAGATTTTTTCAGAACAACAGACAATTGAATGAAGTAAAATTGAAAAAGTACAATAAACAGTAAATTAAAAAAAAAGGAAAAAGAAATCGTAAATCTAAACAGACTTTATTTCAGACTTTATTAAAATTGTCACAAATTTTCAATTAAAATTACGGTATTGTTATCGTTTCTTTTTGGCATAAAGTAAACAAAAAAGAGAAAGAAAAATTAAATTTAGTTTTTTTTTTGTAAATAATAATTAAATGAGTTTATTGTAAAATAAATGAAATGATTTCATTTAGCACGAGAAATACTAGAGATTGTATACATGCTATATTGAAATTTCGGAAATTTTTAGCTATCAAAAAAAAATCGGATTATGCATATTTTTTAGAGGATTAGAGAAAGGTATCATTAATTTAATGAACATATGAATTATTCCTATCAAATATTCATCTTCTCAAATACATTTTTTGCACAAAAGTATCATCTTTACCGTAATACCAGGAAATGTGCAAAAGAAAAAAAGTTATAATAGAAAACAAAAAAAAAATTAATATATTTTCATTAATTATTTCAGTACTTTCTTTGTGAAAATGAAAAAAAAAGAAATTGAAGAAAGAATCTTTTTTTTTGCAAAAACTAATTTTTGTTTTTATTTGACATTTTTTTTGATGCAAATAAAGAAATGAAACTTTGGTGGAAAAAATTTATTGAAATTACTATAAATTAATTATAGTTAAAAAACAAAATTAATTTTGTAATCACTATGAATAAATAAAATTTAATGCGATGTTTTCGATTAATGAATCGTTTATGTTAAAAATTTATACTGAAATATTTATTTCAATGTTAGTTGCCTATGAATTGTTCAAGTTTCAAATTTGATTAATTTTAAAAAATTTAAGAAAATGTTTAGTTCCCGATAAAAATTTTGCGCATATTTTCCTTTTTTCAGTAAAATTTTCAAAAAAAAACCAATGAAATTTGGTTTGGTTTATCATCATTATTCACTTCCGGTGTGAATATTTCTTTTCCAAAATTTCTATTCTAAAATAATAAAAAAGAAATTTCAAATCTCAATTCTAATAAATCATTTCCTGGTTTTTTTTCTTTGCTAATATCTCAACTTATCTTTTTTTTTGTCTTCTTGGTTAACACTTTAAATTAAATATTTCTACTATTTTAAATGTGTAATATTGACAAAATGATGACATGTCTTGCTGATTAATTGCTAATTAATTAACTGATTAGATGAATGGATGAATAATTTGTCACTATCTCCATCATCATCAATAAAATTATCGCATTAGAATCTTCACTGCTATTATTGTTAATGTTATTAGTGTCATCACTATTATTTTTATTATCATTATTATTGTTGTTATTATTATTGCTATCATCATCATCACACCATTATTAGTATTGTCATTATTATTATTATCATTATTATTACTAGTAGTAGTAATAGTAAGTCATTTACTGCGCAAATAAAAAGCTCTTAGTATGCACTCAACAATTAACATTGATGACATGCGACAAGATGGAAAATAATAAAATTAAGGGATGCATAAGATAAAGATTGCACGAATAGTGTCACCATAAGATCTGATCGTCCTCATAATGGTCAACTTTACTTTCTAGTAAAACAGCGGTTCTTTTGATATTGTTTACTTTTGTACTATTGCTACTAATGTTACTACTGTTATTTTTACTACTACTACCACTACTTATGTCGGCTTTTAATATGTACTATGACGGATTATTGATAATAAAAAATATCTCAGGAACTTTAGTACTTTTGGAAGAATTATAAGGTCATCAATTAGAAGTATTATAAGGTCATGAACTTTAATCAATATTTCCATCTGTCTCTTTTTTTTCCTTCCCGGTAAATCTTAGAGCAAGAAAAAAACACCTATCTTTTTTTTTCATTTATGGATTCATGAAATATTGTACATCTTCGACCTTAATATTACCATATTGATTTTATAATATTATAATTTACATGCATGAATAATTTAGCATATTTTATGAAAACTTTTAAAAACAAATGAATGCAATGATTTTTATCAAATAGATTTTTAGCATAAAATTATAATTATGTAATTCTGGATAATTTTTTTATGGTACTTTATTCAATTCAATTTTGTCCAACTCTTACAGATTAAAAAATAGAAGAGAAAATTAAAATCAAATTTTATCAAATCATAATTTCCATTCATTATCAATTAAAAAACAGACGAAAAAATTAAAGACAAATTTTATCAAATCACAATTTCTTTCTTCCATTTTGTAATTTAATAACAAATTTTGAAATGAAATAAATGGCAACTTTTAATTTGAAATTTATTAAATAGTCATTTAATCATTACATGAAAACTTTTATTTTTCTTTTCTTATAATGTTGAAGAAAAAAACAAAGTTTTTTTTCAATCATAATTTTTACACATTTTTTTTAAAAAAAATTTTTTCTTTGAAAATTTTTATTATTCTTTCTTTCTCCCTTTGTCTTATTTCGAAGGGAATCTTTTGTTGGTTATAAATCAAATTTCCTTTTTCTTTTTCTTTTTTTTTTTGTTTTAATACCATTCTACGGGATATAACGGTCAATAGGAACAGCGGGAATTCCGATACATATAAAGCATAATTTCTAATCTAATTAATACAGTCACTTAAGAGATGAGGTAATGATGCGTAAATTATGAGGCGCTATATTGAAATATTTGTAATCATTGTAATTTTGAAGTATCCTAAAGAAAAAAGATCAGAGGTATAATTTCTTCTTTTTTTTTTTTTTTTCATCCCTTATATCTATCAGAAAGTAATAATTATATTTGTTTGAATAAAAAGATTCCGACAAATTCATTGATTTATATGTTACGATTAATGAACGAATTAATTTATAATATTTGTTCCATAACCTTTTTTCACCTTTCAAATTAATTATACATATATTTGCCTATCTGTAGAAAATTTACATATAATGCTTCTTTACGATCACCAATCCGTTGACCAGGATAATTCTACGCTTTATCAATCATTTCGTACAAAATTAATTCAAATAATAAATTTAAATAAGATTAAATGAATGAATGTCATGTGAAGGTCATTTATTGGTAAGTTATCCGGAAGTGAAAATTTTACATTTATTTGAATATTTCTATTCTATTGACAAATATTAATCAAATATTTTGAAATAGTCAAATATTTGAAAGTTTTCAAATATATTTTCAATAAATGCTTAAAATTATCATATCGTTTAATGAAAAGAATAATTAATTTTTTTACAATTACTACCATATGATTTGTGATGTTGGAATTATATAATATTAAACAGTATGTATTATTTAGGATCATATACATATATATATATATATATATCAGAAATAAGTAAACTTTCTTTTTTTCTTAAATTACTGATTAATTTTTGGCAAATAATAACTTCGTTATGTACTATGTCAAAAAACATTTTATCAGAATTAACTTTAATATTAATTTGAATACTTGAAAAAAAGTAATAATGTTGTTAAGTCATGAATATTTAAATTTTGGTTTACTAGACTTATTTAGCATGCTATATTATGCATTACGAAAAAAAATGCCAAAATTATGTCTAATTAAAGTTATAATAATTTCAAAATTTTGATTCATTTCTTCTTCAAAAAATTTGCATGTGATATATGTGCAGTTAAAACAAATACCGCCACATGAATATGTCCTCGCTAAAATTGTAATGTAACTCTGACAAAAATGAAATGCGCAAATGTACTGATAAGAAATAAAAAAAAAAAATAATTTCAAACATTGAAAGCTTTTATTTGTTGCAATACAATATGTCACCAAAAAAAAAAGAAAAAAGGAGCAAAAACAAAGCGATTCTAAAATAATTAGTAAATAATATTAGTATGCTCATTTTTATACAAAATCATCCATTTTAAACAATTTTTTTTTGAAATTTCTGCGTTCTTTTTTTTCATTTTTTATTTTCTAGTATACAGAATTTTTGTTTTTTTCAAAAATCATTCGAAACTTTACGATTATTTAGTTTCTATTTTGAGAAAAATTGAAAGTATGCAATAAAATTAATTGTTGAAAAGAAAATTTTTTTCAAGAGTTTTACTATACTAATATAATTTAAATTTTAAAAAAAAAACGATGGTTGCAATTAAATTTCCAGAGATAAACAAATGTAATAATGATAATATAGCACCAGAAAAGAAAAAACAAAAATTAAAATAAGCAAATACAAATATTATGCAATAAATATAAACAAAATGTTACATACACAAAAAGGAAAAAAAATTTTGCATCAAATATGAAAGTATTTGAAATACTACCCAAAATTAGCTCTTCGTACATATATATATGTATATAGCTTAAGTAACTTTTGAACTATTTAAAAAATTTTTTAAATTAAATTTTAAACAACAACATGTATAGCATATGAATTATCGATTAGTCCTTTTTTTTTTGGTCATATAAATTAATTAGTGAGTAATAACTGAAATTGTTTCATTTTCGTCATAAATTTAACAAAAATGTAATAAATTATTAACAAATTCTTTCAGTGAGAGTTTTTTATAATTTTTTAAATTTTTCAATTTTTTTTATAATTATATATTGTATGAATAAATGTTGGAAATTTTTTTCAAAAAATTAACTAAAAAATTAATCGATAAATTATATGCTAAAGTACTATTAATATAAATTATAATAAAATATTCTAATACTTTATCATTTTAATCAATATCGCACAGCATGTTCATTATCATTATCATGAATGTGTAGATGAAGTATAATGTATATTATAAAGTTCAAAGGTTACAAATTGACGAAATTTGCAAAAATTGACCAACTAAACATGATAATAATCGATCAACGAATAATACTTGGACAAAAATTCTATAGAAATTTGGATCGTAAAAAAAAGAAAAGAGGAAAAAGAGGAAACAAAATTAGCAAAAGAATTAATTAATTTAGAATTAACTGAGGAGAAAAAAAGAAATTTGTGCGAAATTTTTTGTCAATTTTTATATGAATGAAATACTAACACATAAGAAAAAATACAATGAAAACATACAATAATTTAAGTAATTAAATACATTAATTTAAAAATATTACAGAAAATAAATAAATAACAATAATAATTATTCGTTTTTCTTTCTTTCATTCCCTTTTTTTTTTTCAATAGATATTAATTTTATTTTGCATAATATGGATAGTATGGATTTTGAGCAGTTGGATATGGTTGCGCACCAAATGGCGGAAATGGAAATGTTCCTTGCTGATACATATTGCTTGGTTGACACATTGCCTATAGAAAAAAAAAATTTTTTTGGTGAAATTTCAAAAAAAAAAATCAAAATTATCAAATATTTTTATTTCATCCAAATTAATTACAAATTTAAAATTACACTTTGCTATAATTATATTGATTTCATTTATTTGTATTTGGCTTTATTTTCATTACGTATAACATTTTTGTAAATAAGTTTTAAATTGTAATATTTTAATTTCTAATTAATTACTTTATTTGTTAAACAATAATTATTAATTATACAAACATTTGTTTTATTCTTACTGTTAGTTATATTTTTGAATTCAATTTGAAAGGACGTACTTGTTGATAAAATTGATTTTTCAAATCCGGTATACCATCAGGTAATGTACTCAAATTTAACAAATGTTCCGGATTTGAATCCTGTCCACTAGCAGCATGTACAGCATTATCACAACGTTTTCCGTCCTTCACCAGTATTGAAACATTCATTTTTCTATAAAATATCATGATATATCAAAAGTAAACAAAGAGCACTGGGCGGTAATGGATATAATAAGAATATGGAAATTTTTTAATTTACAAATTAAATCTCGAAAAGATTACACGAAAGAGGCGAATAACAGTTGTTATTTAAAAAAAAAGTTACTACTCTTTTTTTTTAAAAAACAATTTAATTTAACAAAAAAAACCTGATATAAATTTAATATTTATCATATTGATTGGAAATTTAAACGATTTTTTTTAAAAAAAATAAATAGCAGTAATATATTAAACTTACTTATCAATATTGCTACCATCCAATGGTGTTGGTGTCCTAGATGGTCCTGATGATTGACTTTCGTCTCGTCCTCTATTACCATCTGTCATTTTACGCTCTTTTTCTTGTCGCTTGCATTTGTAACGATGATTTTGAAACCAAATTTTTACCTGAAATGATAATTTTAATTTTATATAAAATACAAAAAATTTTTAGGAAAATATTAGCAAAATTAAATAAACATGCTAAAATACGGTAAACAAATAAGTAAACAAACAAATAAGCAAATGAAACTTTTTTAAAAAAGAAAAAAAAATAATATGCAAAACCTGTGTTGCTGAAAGTCCAATTGAATTTGCTAATGCTTCACGTTCCGGTGCTGTCAAATATTTGGATGCACGAAAGCGCCGTTCTAATTCATAAACTTGATTTTGTGAAAAAAGTACACGTCGTTTACGCCTTGATCCAACATGACCGGAAAGTGGTAATTGTAATCCTTGCATTGCAGCATGAGCTGGATTAATACCACAATTAAGACCGAAACCGGAACCTAATCGAGGTACTGCAATTAATCATTTTTTTTTTCTTAAAACATTTCAGTTTTATTCAAATTTCAATAATAAGCAATTCATTTACACCTTCTAATTAAATTTTATTTAATTACTTATAAAATATATATGTAATTTGTTTATAAAATGCATATATATATATATATATATATATATATATATATATATAT